GGGCGTGCTGCTTTCGTAGTCGTGTCTCTGTGTGTGTGTGTGTGTGTGTGTGTGTGTGTGTGTGTGTGTGTGAAATGTGTCTTTTTGCAACAAAATAAACCAGATTTTCCCTTCCCTGGATGGCTAGTGGGTCAATCTTTGGGGCCTGGGGTGGTGTGGGCGTGCGCCCCCTGCTGGCGGGGATCAGACCTGCTCTGTGTGGGATATCCCCCTGCCAGGGGGGCATGTGCCCTGGAGTGAGGCCCTGGGTACCAGCCAGGGGGCTGTGATGGGAGGTGGGCAAAATGGGGGTGCTGATCAGATGGGGAGGGGTACTGGGGGCCTGGTCTGGGAGATGTGGGGCAGGCTGGGCCTGTGGGTCTGATTTCCGCCATCGCAGCCCTCAGGGCACGGAGCTGTGAACCGGGCATGGGACAGGGGTACCAGAAAGTGCCAACCCTGGCCTAGATGCCTGAGGTGGCAGGAACTCAGGTGAGACTGGCCAGGTGCTGCCAGCTCCCTGCTCATGTGACTTCCCCTACCAGCACCCCAGAGCGGCTCAGAGCCCCCCGTCCTCTGTCCTGGTGCTAGGGCAGCCTGGGGGCGGAGGGACCCAAATAACCTGCCTGACCCCTCCAGGCACCCGCCTGGTGCCCTGAAACATGAGAGTGGATTGGAGTCCATTATCGTCATCCCGAGCTGCGAGGGGTAGGAGCATATGGGGCAATCGGGGTGTCCCCAAAGATACGTTCCCCCAGACAGGAGCCCCTCGGGTGGTGGTATGTCGGTCTCTTCCCCGGCTGCCCCACCCCAGAGGGGGCTGCATCTCAGCACTGGGCGAGTTCTCCCCCTGCGACATGTGTGGCTGTTCCCCGCTGCCCCACCCCAGAGCTGGCTGCACCAGGCGAGCTGTCCCTCTGCAGTTAACTGCAGTGTTTAAGGGTTAAATCCCTAATTAGCAGTAAAGTTATTCGCATTTTGTTTCTGTGGTAACAGGGCCCCTGGGTGCCTGCATAAACTATTGGCTGGGGGGCGGGGAGGGGAGGGTATAACCTTTGAACTTACTTTTCCCATCAGCCATTCCCACCCTGATACTGTGTGTGAGGGGCTGGGAGCCAGGACTCCTGGGTTCTCTCCCCGGCTAGGGAGGGAAATGGGGGCTGGTAGGTTAGAGCAGGGGGGGCTGGGAGC